CCCCACAATGCATGTACAAATTAACTTACCTCAGGAATGGGTAGCCATGAAGGTCTTGTTCTGCCCCACAATGCATTGTACAAATCAACTTACCTCAGGAATGGGTAGCGATAAAGGTCTTGTTCTGCCCCACAATGCATTGTACAAATTAACTTACCTCAGGAATGGGTAGCGATGAAGGTCTTGTTCTGCCCCACAATGCATTGTACAAATCAACAGCATCACAGCGCAAACGTGCATCATGGGATAGACCAGAACTGGAAAAACAACAAATGTTCATTTCTTTTTATATTTTTAATCTATATAATACTGAGAATGATTGATGTTATGAACACCCATGTGGTTAAATCTTCATGTTATGATATGCATACAATGTAATTTTCAGTGATTTGCATTTACGACAATATTTTGCAAAAGTTGCTGTCGTTATAACTCCAGAAAACAATTTTACTGCAACAAAAATTTATAATTTTGCATACGATTCTCATCAATACATGTTGAATGATATATGACAAAGTGTTTACTGATTTACCACAAAAATATTTATGATTTATTTGATGGTGTTAATTGATTGATTCGATTGGTCCAAAAACAAAATTTGCATATGCAATTAATGGTATATTGGCTGATAATGCATGGCGAAACAAGTGGCCCTGGAACATGAATTTACTACAGGTTTAATAGGGAAATACATAAAACCGGTATTATTTGATTTTTAGGGAAATACAGTGGTTGAATTTTGGAAAAATATCGAAAAAAATACTGAATTAAAAATTGTATAACCATAATATTGCTTTTTGTTAATGGTGGGTCAAGTTGTGAGCGTCGGTAGTTGGGTGATTGTCGTTCGCCACACAAACCTAAACCACCGTCCCTCAAAACCGTGAGGTGCCTAAACGAAAGCCAGAACGCTGTGTTGTGAAATGGATTGCGAACCTCCAACAAAGAAAACATGATCATCAAGTACTAGATGAGATTGAGGGATTGAAGGACAAAAAAAATGCAAAAAACTACGAGTTACAGGCAAAAAATGTATGCCACCAATAACAACCGGTGTCCTGTAGCGGCGTTTGAATTCTAGCTGACAAAACTGCAGTGAAATTGCACCGGGATAATTGCCAACTGTTTCAAAGAACACGGGACAACGCAGAGTTCGACCGACCCGAAATGAAAACGTGGTAAATCCGTAGTTTTAATGATCCAAACTGTACACGACCCTGTATGTCAAATGGCATTGACGCAGTCAGTAAAAGGTCAGAAAGGTCATCTTTTGTTATGCTAATTTTTTGTGTTTACACTGCTCTATTCATCTTGGATATGTTTCGTTTTCATGTGGAATAAAAATTAGTTTGTATTCAATTTGAACTGTGTTGCGCATGTAATTTTTGTATGCATTCAGCGTACAACTACATACTATTCTTATAAATATTTATGTTCAAGGGCCATAATCATGATCTCTTTTTTTTACTAGTTTTATCGGATTGTCAATATACTGGTATAATATAATAGCAATAACCCCCGCCGAAGTTGGGTATACCACTTGATATTGCACGATTCACGACATATATGCACGAGCTGCAGGCATATGTTTTGTATAATGGAATTATTAAAATGTGACTTTATACTACATTTTGTATGACCAGACCAGACAGACCTCACGCAAGTGAATGTGTCACTAACAGTGCAAATCGGTAATTGTTTTAAATATGGCATAAATTATATGTCTTTGCTGTCAGTTATTGAGTTGAGTCTAGTTTAGGTATGTTTAACTAAATAGGTGAAAGTGGTACCTTCCAGCAATTTGATCTACCCCCGGTATGTTCCATGTAATGTATCCAAATCAGGCATATGTTATAATATTTGTTTATTAAATTAATTTTAAAATAAAAAAAAATAAAAAAATACGTCTTTGCTGTCTATGTTTTCCCATGATGCAAATGTTCCTAATCAATATACCATGACTTAATTGAGTTGCAGCAAGTGCAATAACATTAGCTCCTCAAAATTTGAAGAAAAACAAACAAAAACATTTTGACTTACTTCATTAATGACCATATTCTCTCTACCATGGTTTCGTTACTCATTGGAGAGCTGTCTTTCTTAGTGAATGGTGGATTATTAGTTAACATTTTTAACACTGTGTGTCTAAAATCAAAACGTGAAAACAGAACAAATAAAGGTATAGTGTTGTCAAAACATTATATGGGATTCAACAAACATGGAACTATTTGTTGAGGGCTTTTACTTTTAATTATATGCAATGTACATTTGAAGATGTCAATGTTGGGTGAAGTAAGGGTATCCCATCACAATATCTCTCTCTCAAAGATCGGTATTTTGACATTGAGCTATAAAACATAGTGTAACTATCACGACCTTGTCCATTGAGAACCTAGATTTTTAAATAATAACAAATGGATGGATGGATGGATACAAACTAACGATGCATTATCTTTTTTTTGCATGGCAAAAGTGAGAATAAAAAGTCCTGAAACAATGCAATAATATACTATATAAGCATTTTGCACAGAAAAATTGAGGCTATAAAAGTCATCATAATTACATAAAAAAATTAATTAATATTCACTTCCTCTATACTACATGTACTGTATTAATCTCAATGACCCTTATAAAATAACATAACATAAATTGTATAAAAGATTCTAAAAATAATAGTACAGCAACATATCTAAGCAAAATTTGACAAGAATCAAGCCTGCAACCTTTCTGAAAACATGTTAACCACTGTATCATTGCTTCATTAATTAATCACACAGAGAAATACTAAAACTAGACTGATGTCAAACCAATCTGATTAAAATCTGATTAATGTGGACCAAATGTCAAGATTATATTTTCAATCAGTTATATCAGAGAAATCAACTTCCAGCTAATCTGATTTTACACAATGTTCATATCAATCATGTTGACCAAAATACAAATTTCTAGCACAAAATTATTCAATAAAAAAATAAGACATTATGGTAAATGAATAAAGCCTTTTGTGGCAAATTAAAAATAAATTTGAAGCAGTATCTTTGGTAACTAAAACATATTGAAACAAAATGGTTACCTTATATATGGCAGTGGATCCTGTTCTACTACTTCTAATAACCAACAGAATACCTCTTCATTTGATTCAACTTGGGAGAAAAAATAGTGAAAAATTCTGTATTAAAAATCTGTTGAGATATGTGAAGTGAGAAAATATTAAGTATTGAATGTATTAATCACTGGCAATATAATGGTGGGTGTACCAAACCAAAGATACAGAGTTCAAATCCTATCTGAGATTGAACACCAACAATTTGGTTATCATGAGTTAGTGCGAGTGTGTGACAGACTCAATGTGAAGGTCAAAGCTAATGCTAATAACCTTGGTTAAGGTCTGCAGGTGCATGTGTTCCAACTGACCTGACACCAAGTAAAATACTGAATTGCCATAATGCCATTATGATAGGAAATTGGTCGCACAGCCCTGTCATGTAGTCCTGAACATGAAATATGGCTGAGAGAATCTACCACTACAGATATATTTTAGGTGCTAAAAATCTTGACCTCTGACCCATTGTCATATATATATTGAAATTTGATCTTCAGTGACCTAAGATTTCATACAGCATGGAATATTTTTCACAGTAAACAACTAAATACTGTAGAATACTTTATTTTCGCTATTTTCGCTGAAGGGATGATTCCGTGAAAATAAAA